ATAGTAACAAACAGCATATTAACGTATTCACCACATTTTAAAATTTTATTTCACAACATAACTCGTGGAGAAGAAGCCAGACGACAGCTCCCCTGCTCCTCCAGGCTGTGCTCTGATCAGAATTTGGCCGCCTTCAGGCCAATTTCAGGGTGGTGCTCTCCCCGTCTCCCTCCACCTCCCACAGCCAGTGGTGGCCCTGAAAGGCTCACCTGGCTGAGAGACAGGCCCTGGCCCCACCTTCTAACAGGTAGAACTACCTCCTGCCATTGTGGAACCGGGCACCTAAACCCCTTCTCTAGGAGTCCTGCCCTAGAGGGTCCCCAGTTGTGCCTCCCCCTACTCAGCACGCCCAGTTCTCACTTCCAGGTTGGCCAGAGAGCACTCTTTTTCCTCTGCCTAGAACCCCAGAGGTGAGCAATAGATTCAGCATCCCCCACCGAACACCACCCCATCCCTAATAGGTATTTTAGAAACACTTTCAACCAGGGGGGAAGCAGAGTGGGGTTTCCAGGCCACCAGGAGAGCTAGCACCAGAACACCCCCTTCCCTAGGACCACAGGGGACACAACCTGAGGAGCTGCTCTGGCCCACGTGAGCGGGTGGAAAACCAGCAGGGATTCCAACAGAACCCTGGCTTTGAAAACAATTCCTTTCTTTCCTAGGAAAGAAATTCATGTTGGGGAAATTGTCTACAGGCAGCACCTAGTGGGGAGACCTCTAAGGAAGTCCCCCTTTTATACACACTCTTTTAAGAAAACTTCCGCCCCTCATAGATGGTATCCTTCAAACGCACACAAATCCACCCTGATGATCCTGCTTGCGAAGAGCACACTGAGGCTCGGGCTCGGGAGCCAGGCTGCCTGGGCTCAATCCTAGAGGCACGGCCCCGGCTTCTTCACTTGCAAAATGAGAATAATAATAATGAGAGGATCTGCCCTGCCAGAGGGCACACAGATGGTTGGAAGGAAGATCTCTCAGGAAACTGCTAAATCCCAGGGGTCCCAAAGATTTTCCCCAACCACCTGAAGCTGGGAGTTAAAAGGCTGTGGGCAGGCCTGAGAGGCGTGCAAAGCAGCTAACAGGACCCCGGCAGGTTGGGTGAAAACCCAGGAAGGTGTTTGTCCCAAGCCAGTATGTTTGTTGCCAAGCTTCAAGCTTCCTTCGTGCAGGCCCAGCAGGGAAAGAAAAGCAAGCAGGGGAGGCCCCCCCGTTTAAAAGTCCCCCTCCCAATTTGCACTGGTTGTTTGAGATGCAGTCACAGCACTTCACCTGCACAGAGCTTTGGGGTTAATGGTGAACCACCAAGGCTAACAAAATCAAACA